GTCACTGTTGGGCGGAGATCTTCTATCTTTTCTTGGCCCCACCACTAGAATAATCTTGGGCTGGGTGGGTTATAGAGTTGAGCCACTGTCACGGTTCATTCTTGAGTTAGCAAAAACAACAAAGAAAATAAAAGCAACTTTGGATTTCTTCAACTTGTTTTCAGTTGATTTCTCATATTTATTCTGATAACCACTCCGTGAAGTGGCACAGAAAGTAAAAGGTAAGATAGTGTGGTAATGCCAGCAGTCATCTCACAGATGCCCGGTGCCAAGAGGTGGGTACTGTAATTTCCTTTTTACAGGTGAGGAAATAGGCACAGAGAATTCACAGCAGGAAGTGGCATAAGTAGGACTAGAATGCAAGCAGTCTGCCACCACTGTCTGTTCTCTGCACTGTGCTGGGGTTCTGAGATGGGACACATACATGGACATTAGCCCAGGAGGTGAGATGATGGCTTTGCATTCATGTGGCCCTTTTCTGTTAACTTCCCCCCAGGCCTGAAGTGATTGCTGTGGCTATGGCGGGGCTCTTGGCTGGGACAGAATCAGTAGGTGGGGTCCCTTGCCCTGGGTCGTGAGAGTTTGAAATCCCTTTGCACATCCTATACCACTATCCCCTCCAATAAGTACATAAAGACTTAGAGATGAATGAATGAATTCCAACCTCCAGATTATTTGTGAACTTGTATCCATGAGGACCTTCCTTCCTGTTCATGAATTCCAGGTCCCTCCACTTAGCATTGGAACCCTCTGTGGGTGGAAGCCATGGTTCTGGTAGTCTACTTGGAGTGTCCTAGTATGTGTGGGCTTATCTTGCTACCATCGTTTGTAGAGACAGGGTGTATTCTTTCCCAACTTTGGTCTCACTGACTTGGGTGAGCCAGATGAAGTGAGAGATCAAGGTTAGATTGTTTAAATGGTAGCTGTCTTAAATTTCAGGAGTATAGGAATGGGGTCATAGCAAATTATAATGCAGAAACATGTTCATTACCTATTTATGGCCCTTTCTGAAGCATGTTTTAGTCAGGATCAATGGTTGCCAGAAACAGAAATCATTCACCACCCACATGAATTCTAAAAGGGCATATTGTTTCAATAGGCATTCTTGCAGACGGGGAACCTGACAATTACTGCTTACTTGCTTTGTAACCTCAACTGACGTGCTCCTGCCAGGGACTACTTTTGATCCTGCTGCCATGGGACTTTGCAGCTGTGGAGCCCCGTGTGGATGAATGGTCCCTTTCTTTTGGATCACATTCTGAATGTGATGTGGCTCAGCCTACCTTTATGCCTGTCCCTAAATCTGTTGCTAGGCCACTTCCTCTTTTGCCTCAGCGACTTCATCCTCCCTTGCATGCCAGCTCTGTGCCAACGATGCCATTCCCATTGCTGCTTGCCTTATCCTCCAGGATTCAGCTCACATGCATTGCCTTGTTTACACCAGGCAGTTAGCTCTTCTGACTGCTCCTGGCTATGACTTGCTACCTCCAAAACCTTGGATTAATCTGGCTTGGGCTGCATTTGATCCACTTGCAGGTCAGCCTCTCCCAGGCTTGGCCTGGAGGGGCTCAAGGTCAGAGTCAGATTATCTGCTTCCAGCTTAGTGTCTGGCCCCTGGTGGGAGGCCAGTAAACGCTGGGTGATGAGTGGCTATGGGCCATCAGCCCAGCCCTGCCTCCCCTCCCCCTGCACGGAAGTCCCCAGAGTCAAGTCACGGATGCCATTTGCTCATCTTTCAGGGGACATTAGGAGAAAGAAGAGAAGGCATTTCTCCAAATTCACACTGAACAGTGTAGCTCACCCCAGGGACCAAAATGCCATTTGGAACCCAAATGTAGGAAATGGGTTTTTTTTTTTAAGTTTATTTATTTATTAGAGAGCACAAAGTGGGGAGTGGCAAAGAGAGGAGACATGAGATCCAAAGCAGGCTCCAGGCTCCAAGTTGTCAGCACAGAGCCTGGTGGGGCTCAGACCCACAGATCATGAGATCATGACCTGAGCCAAAGTCAGACACCCAGCCGACTGAGCCATCCAGGCGCCCCTAGGAAATGGGATTTTTAATCAGCCTTCCTCCAGCTAACCTTATACCACCATGGGTGCTGCCCTCCCACCTGTAGTTTTATGCTCTTCAACACAGTTGGCCTTCCTCTCTTCCTCTTCCTCCATCCCTTTTCATTCCTTACCCCCCTTCCCCCCCACCCTCCCTCCGTGTAGTAATTGCCTTCCTCACTCAGCACTCAGCCATGTCAGTTGTTTCCATCTCCAACCCTTGGAGTTGGATGAGAGCCATTCTTCCCATTTCACAAATGAATTAATTCAGGACCACGGCTAGGGCCAAGGAGGCCTTCCATGCAGGGAGTGTGGAGGCAACTCTGCTTCTCCCTGGGACACCAGGTAGAGAGGGCCTTGTCAAAGGTGGGCTGGCTCAGTTTGTCAGGGAGGAAACAGTCCTTAATGTCAAGATGAGGGACAGGGAGGATCCTGGGCGGGTTGGGAGTGGGCCCAAACTCTGACTGGTCTCTACCCTAGGACTCCTCAAAGGAGAGAGACAGCACTGCATGAAAGCCATGGGAACCATTTGATTACTCTCTTAAAATGAGAGAGGGTGGGGGCAAGGTGAGTGAGCCCAGTTGCTGAGGGTGGGAGGACATGAAAGGGTAGAAAAGGGGCCAGCAAAGAGAAGAGGGAGGAAATGACACACGGAGCCCCACTTGCCCATAGATCCCTGTGCCTAGGCAGGTACAAACCTGGAAAGAGATGGTACTAGAGGGAAGGTTCCTGGCGTTCAGCATACAGTGTGTGTTAGCACCCTAGCAGTGGGGCCCCATGGAAAAGTGCTCAGTCCCCAGCCTCCAGTCTGACTTGACAATTAAAAATCTCAAGCTGAGGTTGGGTTGGGTCAGTCTTGACCCTTTCTTCTCCCATGGCAGAGGGTGGAGAGGTGGGGAGTCCCTAGGAGTGACTCTAGGAGGGTGAAAGAGGCAACAATAAGAAGGGAGACAAGGGGGCACCTGGGTGGCTTAGTCGGTTAAGCGTCCGACTTTCGCTTAGGTCATGATCTCGCGGTTCGTGGGTTCGAGCCCCGCGTCGGGCTCTGTGCTGACTGCCAGCTCAGAGCCTGGAGCCTGTTTCAGAGTCTGCATCTCCCTCTCTCTCTGACCCTCCCCTGCTCACGCTGTCCCTCTCTCTCTCTCCTAGAAATAAATAAAACATTTAAAAAAAATCTTTAAAAATAAGAAGGGAGACAGGGAGCAGGGGGCCATGCAGGGCAGGGACACATAAGGAGCCATCTTGTAGGGGTCTAAGCAGCACACCCTTGGTTTGAGTTCTCTGTTTCTCTGTGGGTTTCTGAGAGCAGCTGGGCTTTTTCAGGAAAGGAAAGAGGGCTGGAGATACACCAGGGAGATCGGCTCCAGTATCTAGCCAACCTATTGTCCCCTAGGCCACCTCCCTCCACCTGACATGTTCTCCATCTCCCACCCCAACATCTGCATTGCTCCTAGATGCCTCCTTCCCCAGGCAGGAGTGATTTCTAGGTTTTGGCCTCCATTTCTGAAGACTTTTAACAGAGAGAGAACATCCCTGTCTATGATATGAGAGGGTTGGACTTGGATTAACACTCCAAAGGAAATTGAGAGGGAATTTGGTCCCATTCATCAGACCCTAGAAGTCCAGGGGCCCATGGGGAGGTGATGAGTGGAGAACCAGTTCCGGCCCCTTCTGTCCCCTCAGCAGGGAGGTGCATGTGTGTTCATTGTTCCGAGGTAATGAGGGCTGGAGACACACAGGGTTCAGGTGGTGCGTATTTGGGACCCTACTGACCTCTAAGTAGCCCTTTGGAAACCTTGAAGGCCATGCCTCACCCTCCCCCAACCTAGATTAGAAAACTTCTTGCTTTCCTAGGGTACAGTTAGGAGACTTAAGAGTAGAAAATGCAGATTGGGTCTGCATAACTATTTTAGGAATTTGTCCTAAAAGCAGTTACCAAAGAGTGACTTCCCTTGTGGACAAACCCCCATTCCCCGCCCAAAACCCTAATTCATGCCAGGTATACATTTTGTGCCTGGGGGGCCCAGGCCAATGGATGGGTTAGCCCAGCTGGTTTCAGACACTGACCACAGGCGTACTGAGCAGAACCAGGGATGGAGGTGGGCAAGGTGGCTTTGGTTCTGGGAGAAGGCCTCCGAGCCGGCCCTGGTGACTCTGAGGCTCCTGTCCTCACTTGGGCCCTGTCCTGGCGGGGTAGCAGCCAACCACAGGTTCCAAGACTAGGGAAGGAAAGTTGGGGCTGAGGGAAGCCAGTGAGGGTGGGCAGAGGGAGCCCAAGCTGAGCTAGGAGCCTGACCTGGATGAAGTGGGTAACTTCCAAGGTGGAAGATATCCTCGTTGTTCCAGGGGAGAGCAGGGCTGGGCCCTTGGTGCCTTGCATGATACCTCCAGGATTGCAGAAATAGTGCTGAAGGCCAGAGAGGAGCAGGGGTCTCCTGGGAATCCAGACAAAGCTGCCCTTCCTGTGACCCGGAGAAGCGTTCTGCCTTGAAGGACATCCCAGAGCCCCAGGAGCAATGTGGAAGGATGGTGCCCCAGATGGCTTCCCCACTGTGTCCCCTGAGTTTCCCTTCATCTTAGGGCACTCACTTGGAACCCTGCTGACCCCAGGGCCAGATGGACCCAAAGACACTGGGTTTTCCTTAGAGCAGCCGAGGCAAGCTTGCATTTTCCAAAGGAAGTTTATTAGCATTGGAAGGGACAAATGAGAAAAGAGAAAATGCGGAGGCCCAATCTCTAAAGCAAGGCCTGTGTTCTCACCATCATCACACTCTGGCCCCTGGACTGGGCAGCTATGTGGCCCTTTGTCTGCGGTGGAGCTGCCACAGCCCCCGCCTGTCTCCACCTGCCATGGTGCCCTCTCCTGTGCTCTGGGGACATCATCCAGGATACACTGCTCTGTAAGGTCAAGACCCTTTCCTTTCCCTGTCACCCAACAGGCCCTGAGCTGGCAATAGTCCAGGGAGTGACCTTATCCCTCCAGGTGGGAGCCTGGCCGTCCTGACTTCCGCAGCACTGTGAACCCCCTGTCCTGGGAGGGGCCTTACGACTCCAGTGAGACCTCCAACTGTAGCTTCTCTGTAGCCTTCGCCTTCCTGGAGGCCTCCCGGCGCCGAGTGGAAGGCTGGTAGGAACTCTCGTCGCTGCCTGAGCCCTGCCAGCTCCGGCTGAGGCCCAGCAGCGCCCGGCCCTGACGGAGGAAGTTGGGGCTCGAGAAGCAGTAGAGCACAGGGTCCAGGACACTGTTGAGGTAGGTGAAGGCCAGGGAGCCGTGGAAGAGCTGCGAGCAGATGTTGAGGATGTGGCAGGCGCGCAGGCGGAAGGCCACCATGGAAGCCATGCCGAGGATGATACTGGGCAGGAAGCAGATGACGTAGACGGCCACCAACACGGCCAACATGCGCACGGCCCTCCGTGGGCCCGCCTGCCCACTCAGGCTGCGGCGCCGGATGGTGAGCCCGATGCTCACGATGGCATAGAGGATGAGTGCCAGCGGCAGGAAGAATTCCAACACGAACAGAGCCTGGTGCCAGCGGAGTGAGGCCGAGGTGTTCGTGCCCAGCTGGTAACTGAGGCAGGAGTGGTTGGTATGGGCAGTCAGGAGCAGGTGTCCGTTGAGGAGCAGGATGCCTCCCCAGAGCCCCCCGGCCACCCTGGCAGCTGCCCACACGGAAGCCCGGCTCAGCACGTGGTGGGGCCATACTACCTTCAAGTAGCGGTTGAGTGCGATGGCCGTGAGGAAGACCACGCTGGCCGAGCGGTTGGTGGACAGCATGAAGAGGTTGAGTTTGCAGACAGTGGCCCCAAAGCGCCAGATCTCGTGCAGGAAGTAGTAATCCACACGAAGGGGCAGGTTGACGATCAGGAGAAAGTCGGCAATGACCAGGCTGACCAGGAACACGGTGTTGGACGTCCAGGGCCGCGTGTGGAAGCAGAAGATGAAGAATGCCAAGCTGTTCCCCAGCAGGCCCAGGACAAACTCCACACCCAAGGCTGCAGCCAGGAAGGTAGACACTGTGGGGGAGGAGGCCGGGGAGCAGGGAGCCGAGGCTTCTCCAGGTGACCCCCAGTTTGTGGTGAAGGCAGAGGGAGAGGAGGAGAGGGAGGGAGGGAGGGAGGCAGGGAGAGTGGAGGCAGGGAGAGAAAGGAGGGGAGAGGAAGAGCTCAGGTTATGAGATTCCATGGGCTGCTTAGGCCATGGGCCTGAGAGAAGTTTCCAGTCTCTCTACCCCTGCAGGAGATTTCAGGGCAAAGTGAGATGGAGCTCACTATTAGCTGGCCACCACGATGACTCAATATCCTGGGGTTTTCATCAGTATCCTTGCAGCCCTGAGAAACACCCAGCGTTCCTGTTTGCAGGCCCCGCCCACCCCTGCAGCCCCCTCCCCCCACACACCCAGCGCCCTGGCCACACAGTGTCTGAAGTGGGCGGGGGGGGGGTGGGGGGCCGTCTGTGCTGCCCTGGGCAGGAGAGGAGAGCAGGGCTCAGCAGGAGGGAGATGGAGGCCCAGGAGGACCCTGAAGGGGGAGGAAGGCCCAGCTGGGGTGAGGTGGGGAAATGTGTTCACAGATTTGCTTGCCTGAAGGCTGGAGCTGGTCCTGGCACCCATAGCTCAGGGTCATGTAGGCCACCCTGGACACCAGCCCCCCAGCCCATTGCCTACAGACTGGGTGGGTCGCCTCCACGCCCTCACCAGCTCTGGCAGCAGGGAGTGTGGTGCCAACAGAACATCGTCCCAGGAGAGCGACGGGGGCAGTCCAGCCAATACCTTGACTTTGGTGCTCACGGACTCGTCGAATACGCCTGTTGTGCCCTGCCTGCCTGCTGTAGCTATTCCCAGGTTCCCGATGGTCCAAAGTCAACATACAGGATAAAATACCCACAGGCAGAGGACTCCCCTGCCAATTTCTACTGCCATGACCTGGGACCGGGAGGCTTCTCCCCCAGATAGAACAATCCTGAGAGCCTCCCAGACTCCTGTCCCTGCCACTCCAACCCCACCCAGCATTCACTACAGAAAGGGCATGGAGGCTGGGGCTGCCTTCAGACAAGGTGCATTCCAGCTCCTCCACTGCGTGATGTTCCCAGGAGGCCGTGGGGCCAGCCAGGCCTTTGCACAGACATGAGGGCCTTGAGCCTCTGATGACCTGGGACAGCACCAAAGGAGGCTGCGGTTCCAGGCTGCAGGACCTGACACGCCCCTTGCCAGCGGGCTGGGGTCAGCAGGGTGTCACGTGTGCCAACTCTGCTGAGGCCTCTGGGTTTTGGGCACGGTGCCCGTTGGCCTCTCTCTCTCAGAGCCTCCAGGCCTCTCCCCTGTCCCGGGCTCCCATCTGGCCAAGGCTGAGGAAGACAGGCTCCGACCGCAGGGCGCAGCAGGGTGAGATCACCACCCTGAGCAGACAGACCTGGGTTGGAAACAGAGCTGCTAGTTTCCCAAACCACTCTGAGCTTCCCAAAGCATGGTGAGGATTAAATGAGATAATGTATGTAAAAACTTCTAGGGAATTCCTAGAAAAAACAGATCTAATTTTTTTAAAATATTTTTATTTATTTCTAGGAGATAGAGAGAAACAGTATGAGCAGGGGAGGGTCAGAGAGAGAGGGAGACACAGACTCCAAAATAGGCTCCAGGCTCTGAGCCGGCAGTCAGCACAGAGCCCGACGCGGGGCTCGAACCCAGGAACCGCGAGATCATGACCTAAGCGAAAGTCGGACTTTCGCTTAACTGACTAAGCCACCCAGGCGCCCCAAAACAGATCTAATTTTTATCGTTTTCTTGGATTATCTACCCTGGGCACCAGGGACAAACTTGTTTTCTCATGGCCACCTGGCCTTGCACAGGGGACCTCTCTGGGGCATTCCCATGTTCTCCCCCCAGCTCCTGCACAGAGCAACGCCGTGCTGCAGCCCAAGTTCACACCAGCCTCTGCCTTCACGTCCTTGACTGTCACCCAGTGCCCCCCGACACACACACACACACACACACACACACACACACAGTCACAGGAGCACACGAGGTCAGCCATTGGTGACAGCCTGTGTACATGCAGATACGCGGGTGTTCATCCACCAGGAAGCCTTTATTGAGGGCCTTTTTGGTGGCAGGCAAGTGCTGTGCTGAGTGTGTGGGGACAGAGGGATGGAGAGGCAGCCCCTCCTCTAGCAGCAGAACAACTGGCAGAACTGTGCAGGGCGGAGGGCAGAGAGCTGTTAGCGCAGAAGGGGTGTGCCCAGCCCCCCAAGAGCCTGGCATCTCGGCTGAGACGATGACGATGTCCAGGGTCTGGCTCCAGGACGCTGAGTAGCTCAGCAGCGGGATGCGCAGAGGCAGAGAAGACAGGAGACTAACGGTGGGGGGAGGCTGCTTTGGGGCCACACCAAGAGGATCACCCCAGGGGCTTCTTGCGGGCAGGGTCCTGAGTCACCGCCAGGGCCACAGAGCCTTGCCCTCGCTCCCAGGCATACCTGCAGAGACAAGGGTGGCCCGGGGGCAGACAGGTGGGCCCTGAGGATCTCAGGGAAAGGGGCGGGCTCCCGCAGCTGGGGGAAAGTCCTCCCCTGCACTCACGCATTCCCAGCTGGCACCAGAAGGCTGTCATCAGGGCCCAGGCTCAGGGGCTGGTCCTCCATTGTCACCACAGAGGAGCCCTCCTGAGAAAGAGAAGCAGGAGAACTGAATGGGGGCTCTTGGGCCTCAACACCTGTCCAAGAGTCCCTGAGTCGGCCTTGGCAAGCAGGCCCTGGGAGCTGCCCTGGGCTCTGGGAGTCCAAGACCCAGGAGAAGCCTGTCCCCATGGGCAGAAGGATATGCCACCCTCTCCCAGGGGCCCCACTTGCCAACTGCCACAGCCACACATCCACGTCCTGTCTTGGGCCTTTGCTGCTGCCTTGTCCGTGGACGATCACCTGGTAGGGAGTGACATACATCTTTCTGGTGCTTCTGCCCCACTTAGGAGATGGCCTTGAACCTGGCCCCTAGACACCAGCCCCACAGCACCAGGCACAGCCTTATCTTCACGTGTAGAGCAAAGACCAGGACTCAGAGAGGAAAGCTGCCAGGCCCCGGCTTCCCTGCCGCCTCCGTGACGAACAGAGCTGCCCATGTGTTATCCGGGACCACATGTGCTTGCCCTTCATGCACACACACACACTGGATTCCTCTGATGCCCATCACGACTACTGCTGACCCACGCGAAGTCATGACTGCCGGGGGCACACTCGGGACACACACAGTTGCGTGTACACGGCCTAGTGTGGACTTCTGTATCACACATACATAGTTCTCCAGAATGCCCACCTCCCTTCTTCCGTGAGATTCTGGCCTAAGAAGGAGGAGGGAGATGGGTGGGGATGAAGCCCTTTGGTCTGCATTAGCCTGGGAGCACACAGCACTGTGTGGGCCATGCTCCCGCTGGCTCAGAGTGGGACTCAGTAGATATCTGGCACCATAAACGAGAGCAGGTGGGAGCAGGGGTGTGAAAGAGGTGGAAGGCGGGGCCATGAAGGCCATTGCCACGATGGCCTGGGAGGACACTTGTGGTGTGCGCCTGCTTTCACAGCCCCGTGTAAGCCCAGGCGTCTGCAGGCCAGACCTTTCAGGGCAGGTCTGTATCCACTGAGCCTCTCTCCATGAGAGTGTTTAATTCAAACAGCAAGGGATGTGCCGGCGGCAAACTGTGAAGCACCAGCACGCACGAGCCTCCCAGCAGGTCTCCTTGCCTCCACACTTGCCCTTCTGGTCCCATCCTCACACCGCACAGTGATCTTTCTGAAGAGGGATTTGTCACCCCCCCTGCTTTAATGCTTGGGTGAAGCTCCGTTGTCTCCAGAATAAATCCCTGCACCTTGTCGAGCCCAGGAGACCTGTCAGGACTGGGGCACTGCCTGCTACTCTTGCCATCTAGCAACGGTGCCTGCTGCCCCCACTCCCCTGCCCTAGCTCCTGCCAACCTTAGCTACTTGCAGTGCCAGGCTGTTTCAGGCTTCCACGACCTTGCTCCTGCTTCTCCCTCACTTAGAATGCTCTCAGTCTCCCTTTCTTCCTTTTACAAATGCCTATATTGCTTTAAAATGTAGCTTACACATCACTTCCTCCAGGAAGTCTTCCCTGATTTCCCTTTCAGCCTGAGTTCCACCTTTATTGTCTTATGGCTTCCTGAAGCTTCTCTATCAAATAACATACCACATGATTCCGGTAATTGTTGATGAACTTGTCTGTTAATCAGACCATACACTCTTCGAGGCAGTGACTCTATCTTATTTTTCTACCAAAGCCTGAAACATAATAGGCACTCAATAAATGTTGAATGGAAGAAGGCCAGCTTTGCTTGGGTGGGTCTCTCCCTGTCCACCACTCCACCCACCCCTCAACCCCAGGCACCTCTCTTCCTTCTGGCTCCCCAGGCTAACAACTGGCCAAAGGTTCGGGAATTCCTAATAGAAGGATAAATCTAAACCCTCGGGAACTAGTCCATGGATTGCACAAACCCCTACTCTGAAGGCAAAGAAAGACCGCTTGAGCCCATATACTCCACTCATAGCAAAGCCATCATTCTCTGAGTCAGAGAAAACAGGAAGGCCCCTGCTCATGTCACAACCTCTGAAACTGTGTGTGTGTGTGTGTGTGTGTGTGTGTGTGTGTGTGTGTGTGTGTGTGATTAGTTCCCATTTCCTAGGGCTCCTAGGTAGATGCCCTGAGTGGCTCAGGTTCATTACCTGTGTCTCATAGGTGTCCCCAAACAGGCTGAGGGGTGTGCCTGCCTGCAGCTCTCTGCGGTGGCTGTCCAGCCAGGCCTCCAGGGACACGGGCTCCATGACGGATCGTGTGCTCAGGGGGAATGGCGGTTCCTTGAGCAGCTGGTCTGCACCCGTGGCACAGCTGTGTCAGTGGCCTCTGGCCCAGCCCGCCCAGCCCCAGGGCTCCCAGCTCCGAATCACCAGAATGGGCTCTGGATCCATCTCAAGCACCAAGCAGTCATGTGGAGGGTACTATTTGGTGCCGCTGTCTTATACTCTGAGTACGGGGCAGAGTACTCAAGAGGAGACTGGTACTCTGGACCAAGACCCGTTCTACTCTGGGAAAGCAGAGAGGGAGGGAGAAAGGTGGTGCCCAGGGGGCTCACCAGGGATGGGCTTTCCTGTTTTGTGCTGCTCAGAGCTGAAGAACCTGCAGGGAGAAGTGGGGAGGAGGAGTG